CAAGGGGAGTTCAAGGATGAGTTTGGAGCAATTTTGGATGAGTTCGGGGCCCAGTGGACTCGACGTGTCGAGCCAAGGGCTCGACACGTCGAAATTTTCCAGTAGCTAACTAATTCGCGCACAGGAAGTCTCGACACGTCGAGAAAATTCTCGACGCGTCGAATATGCGTCTGTTTCTGGGATAAAAACAGACGCTTAAAGTGGCGCAGCTGGGCAAAATTCAATACAAGCGCGAGATCTCTTTTCCTAATATCAATTGCGCGAATTTCAAGGCTCATATCTCCATATTAAAAGTTAGCAATTCAAGGAATCTTCCAAATTCTAAATATCATTAAAGACGACAATTTCTTTATTTAAATATAGCAATTAGAATTTGAGTCCAATTTGGTACAAGATTCCTATTTCATCTCAACTTTGTACCCACTATAAAATCCCTCCTTCCTCAACCCTAATAAATGGGGGACCGAGAGAATTCAGAGATTCTTGGAGACAAGAAGGAGAGAAATCAAGAGCCACAAGTTGTCTTGGAAAGCAAGAAGAAGACTAGGGAGATTTGGGAAAATCGTCTGGTTAATTCTTGTACTCTTTTGATGATTTGTAATTCTTTATTTATATTTCTATGTATAATTTAGTCATGCTTGGCTAAATTCTTTAGAGATTCTTGGGTAAAAGTGTTTATGAACCTATGTGCCTAAGCTCTCAGTTTCTTTAATATATTATTATTTGGGTTTAATACTTGTGTTGCAATCGTGATAATATTGTTTGATGCTTGTAATTAATGGCCATAGTTACTAGCTTCATAGCCATGTTTGTGTCACCAATGGGAGTTGGGGCATAAATTAGGGCACACACGATTGCACCTAATGGTTGGTCCTTGGGAAAGGGGAACTTATTAGGGGAAGTTTATTCTAGATTGTTGCCAATCGGGAGATGGTAGTAATTAGGAATAATTGAATGCTGATCTTTGATCTTATTGGGTGTTTAAGCCATGGGAGTGGAAATTCACTAGGAATAGAGATTACGGGAGTAATTCGATTCCACTTTGCATTCCCACACAAATCTTAATTCCAAACTAAATATTGCAAACGATAATTGGCACTAGGTGATTAAATACTTGAATCCCATGAATCTCAACTTCTCTCTAATTGTTTTCAAAATCCTGAACCTCTGTTTTATTTTATTTATTTTATGCCAATCAATCATCTAAGTAATTGTTAGGATTAGCTCTAATGAATAAGTTAGTAACTAGTGCTTGATACAACCACTTCCCTATGGATCGATAACTCATACTCCGAGAATTATTTGTTTGCAAATATACTACGCATCACACATCGACATGAAGTTCTTAGCAATTAGGGAGCATGTCAAAAATAAAGTTGTATTCATTGAACACATTAGTACTGAGTTGATGTTAGCAGATCCCTTGACTAAAGGCATGCCACTATTTAAGTTCAAGGATCTGATTCAGAAAATGGGACTTTCGCCCAATTTGTAATTTGTATATATACATTCAGTTTTAATAAAATTCTTTAGAATTCAGACATTTTCTGGATTAAGTGTGTACACCTTCATTTACTTTATATTGATGAGAAAATGTACTTCAGGGACTTGGAATAAACATAGGGTTTATTTTGTTGGGTTTTGTTTCCTAATTAAGTGCTCAATGGCAGTTTGCATTTGATCATAATGGATACTACTCGTGCTAATGAGAACATATCATTATGATTGGTGGTTTCTGTTATTGAGTGGTAGTGCTTGCACCAAGTGGGAGAATGTAACGTTTATCCGTGACTATTATTATAACATTAGGATAAGTTATGATAATATTCAGTATTTGATATGTGGTGCAACACTAATAACCTAATAACTAAACTACCATTATGATGAGGAGTCTGGTTAGGGTTTAGGAGTCCTAAAGACAATCAACCACAATGATGGCCAATGGTTATATAAGGTCACTAGTCCTCTCACTGCTCACATTACATACCTCATACACCATCTAGAGAGAGCTGAGTAAAGTGAGAGACAAAATACTCGTTATCTCTGCAGCAGTCCGGGTCGCTGAACCGTATCAAGAACTATGGCTGGAGGTTAGTCGATCCTGTATCACACAGTAATATGCATGTAATATATTTAGTCTAACACTAGCTACCTGCTTTTCATTAATTGTCAACTCTAGTGAATTTGAAAATGCTTGACGTACGGTGCATTCATAAATGCTTGACGAAGCATTTTAGGAATGCTTGTCATTGCATGTCAAAGGTGAAAATTAATGTAAAGGGGAGCATGCACCGTAAAGCATTTCCAAATGCACCGGGCACTACCTGATTGTCAACTCTAGTGCATTTAAAAATAGTTTATGGTGGATTGGTACTAGTTTGACAGTGCATCCGCACGTTCTCACCTGAAGACCACACCAGAACTCAACCATATATACATACATACATACATACATACATACATACATACATACATACATACATACATACATACATACATATATATATATATATATATATATATATATATATATATCTACTATACTAATAAGAGCCCAAGAGAGTTAGGCCTATAATGGGTAGAAAATATGGCGGTCACAGATTTTAATCAAATGAATGGCTTAGATTGATTAAAAGATTGATCAGATTTGAATTTTACACTAAAATTTTCTAAAATACCCACACACCATTACTAATTCCGTTAAAATTTTAAGAATTGTCGTTAGTTCACCGTTAATTTACTCATTGATTTCAATAAAAAAAAGGTCTTAGGTTCGAACCTCATCCCAATCAAAGTTGGCATAATTAATACTCTATTTTACTCTTATTAAATTATATAAATAATTTAGTAGTTACAACAAAAAATAATACATATGCATTTCTTTAATTTAGAATTATGTGTCCACAATGTCTTTATTCAAAAAAAAAAAAAAAAATTTATTCATTATCAATAAATTAAATAAGATAAATAATTTTATTAGTTATATTGTCTTTATTTTTTTTCAATATAAAAATTCTTTATATTCAAATTTATTGATTATATTCGCTACATTGCCCTTACGGTGTCTTTATTCAGTGAAAAACAAATTATTAATTATCAATAAATTAATTAAAAAAATATTTTCATTAGTTATATTGTCTTTATTTTTCTCAAATGTAAAAATTTTTACATTCAAATTCATCAATTGATTATATTCACTACGTTATCTATTATCTTTTTTGTGCACTATTTTTCTAATTAAATATCAAAGTTATAACATAAAATAATGCTATGTATTATTTACCAAGTATTTTATTAATACCATGAAAAAATTTTAAAAAATATAATTAATAAAGCCAACCATATTAATAACTTGAGAGATTTTGTGACAAATAGAGTATTCAAATCACACAACAAATTGAAGTGAGAATTGCCGTTAGTTCACCGTTATAAAAAAAGGTCTTAGGTTCGTACCTCATCCCAATTAAAGTTGGCATAATTAGTACTTTATTTTACTCTTATTAAATTATAGAAATAATAATTTAGTAATTACAACAAAAAATAATACATATGCATTTCTTTAATTTAGAATTATGTGTCCACAATGTCTTTATTCAAAAAAAATTATTCATTATCAATAAATTAAATAAGATAAATAATTTTATTAGTTATATTGTCTTTATTTTTCTTCAATATAAAAATTCTTTATATTCAAATTTATTAATTGATTATATTCGCTACATTGTCCTTACAATGTCTTTATTCCGTGAAAAACAAATTATTAATTATCAATAAATTAATTAAAAGAAATATTTTCATTAGTTATATTGTCTTTATTTTTCTCAAATGTAAAAAATTTTACATTCAAATTCATCAATTGATTATATTCACTACATTATCTATTATCTTTTTTGTGCACTATTTTTCTAATTAAATATCAAAGTTATAACATAAAATAATGCTATGTATTTATTTATCAAGTATTTTATTAATACCATGAAAAAATTAAAAAAATATAGTTAATAAAGCCAACCATATTAACTACTTTGAGAGATTTTGTGACAAAGAGAGTATTCAAATCACACAACAAATTGAAGTGAGAACTACCTCGCAATGTCCTTGTTTGACAATCAGCAGTTAGCGGTTAGCGTTAGCGGATTATTCTAGCGGATTTGACCAGCGAATTTATTTAATTATTAACATTGGGTAGAAAAAATGACCGCCAAATTATTAAATCAAATGAATGGTTCATATTGTTCAGGTTTTAATTTTTTTCTTTTAAGATTTTCTAATTTATCCTTAATTATATGATTATCCATTTAACTTTTCCGTTAATTCACCGTTAGTATAATTCTAATATTAAAGTCTAATATAGAATTATAATTACACCATTAATATAATTCTAATATTAAAGTCTTAATAGAACTTAACCACAAATCCTAATGTCAGAATCTCCTCAAACAATATTAGTATATATTTAATATTTTATGCCCTAATTTTTATTTGTTCTCCCCTATGTCCCTATTTGGTTTCAACCATACCTATACAATTATTTTATTGACAATTATAATCAATATTGACTATATTATCTTGCATTTGTAAACTTAGAATTACCTATTTAACCCGCACGGACTTAGCTCATTGGTTTAGTGGGTAGTATTTGGGAGAAGAGACCAAGGTTTGAACCTCGGCGGCGGCAATGCGGGAATTATGTCCAAAGTGGGCAGATTCCTTGTGCGTATCAGCATTTGGCCTTGTCTGCTGAACCAGGGCCCTTGGGGTTGGGGACTCAACCTTTGGGAGTAGAATTACCTATTTAAATATGCAAATTCAACCTTCAACAATTTCAATATAATCTTGCCTTAATATGTTTTAAAGTACTTATTTAAAAAAAAGAATTGGGCATTATCTCAATCACGCAATACGCGTAAAAAACTAGTATATATATATATATATATATATATATATATATATATATATATATATATATATATATACACACACACACACCAATAGCATAATTGTCTAACATGGATAGGAGTACTATATTGCAGTGAGGACGGTGGTGAGTGCCAACTAAACAGAAAGTTCGAGTAATCCAATGTATGTATTATTGCTTGAAATACACATAACAGACCTAGGTATGGTAGGAGGTGGAGTCCAATTGAAGTATATTTGATTTGGTCTTAGAATAACTTAACTAACCACAATGAAAATGAAATAAACTTTTTCTCCCCTCAACATACAATAATTTTTTATATAACTAGACACCATACTACACGATAAATAATATATAGATCAATAGAGTATATATGCATGGGATGTGGACCAAATGGCCAACCAGCTAAGGTATGGTTTGGTTGGTGTGAACACTAAACTTAGACTCTAAGCCAAAACCACACACCTTATATATCTGTTGTTTAACCCCTTTATGCCCACCTTCCAATCACCATAAATCTCTCTCTCTCCCTCAGCTTCATCATATCATTTGGCAAATATACTATATACAACCATTATTATATATATCTTGAAGAAACTAAAGAATGAGAGATAGAATGGAAAGATTTGCACTTCTTCCCTTTTCTATGGGTTGTGTCTCTGAGTCAAGTGTTGCGGTTGCTCGTCCTCTTCATCTCACCAATACGCCACCAAATAATCCCCTACACACACCAAGTAACTACCCCCCTCTCCAACTTCTCCGATCCGGCTTATAATATTTTTTGTTAATTATTTTTCTTTATTGTATCCAGAGCAAAAGTGGAGAGAGGAAGGGGAAGAAGAAGAAGAAGAGGAAGAGCGGGAAGAGGGTGATGAGAAAACTCGTCATCCTAAATTGCGAAGAATCTTGAAAAATTTCAAGAACTTGTCTCAATTATTCTGTAAGTTCACTCTTACATAATCCTTGCATCAAATTAGAAGATACTTTACAGGTAATTCAAGAGCAAATTCCATTTTTAGTTGATTGCTGTAATTTGGGGCAAACAAATAATACCCGGAGTATTCGGGTTGTCGAACCACAGAGAGGTGGGGTACTAATCACTAGCTACTAGGTTACTCATATGAAACTAGTCCGAACAAAACTTGAAGGTGGATTGATTGCATAAAATAACCAGCAGAATAAAATAAGTAGCAAGGTTTTGTAGACAATAGAGCAAAAATAGGATTCTTGGGGTCACAATGTTTAATCACCTAGTGCCAATTAACGTTTGTAATATTTGGTTTGGAATTAAGATTTGTGTGGGAATGCAAAGTGGAATCGAATTACTCCCGTAATCTCTATTCCTAGTGAATTTCCACTCCCATGGCTTAAACACCCAATAAGATCAAAGATCAGCATTCAATTATTCCTAATTACTACCATCTCCCGATGAGCAATAATCTAGAATAAACTTCCCCTAATAAGTTCCCCTTTCCCAAGGACCAACCATTAGGTGCAATCGTGTGTGCCCTAATTTATGTCCCAACTCCCATTGGTGACACAAACATGACTGTGAAGCTAGTAATTTAGGCCTTTAACTACCAACAACAACAGATTAAAACAAGATTGCAACACAAATCATAAAACCAAACATAAATATATTAAGAAATTAACGAACTAGGCACATAGGTTCATAAACAAATTCACCCAAAAATCCTTAAAGAATTTAGCCGAGCATGGCTAAATTATACATAGTAAATATGAATAAAGGATTACAAATCATCAGAAGAGTACAAGAATTAACCAAGCGATTCTCCCAAATCTCCCTGGCTTCCTCCTTGCTTCCAAAGACGACTTGAGCCTCTTGATTTCTCTCTTTCTTGTCTACAAAGAACTCTAAAAATCTCTCGGTCTCTCTGTCTCCCTTTAGGGTTGAGGAAGGAGGGATTTTATAGTGGGTACAAAGTTGAGATGAAATAGGAATCTTGTACCAAATTGGACTCAAATTCTAATTCCTATATTTAAATAAAGAAATTGTCGTCTTTAATGATATTTAGAATTTGGAAGATTCCTTGAATTGCTAACTTTTAATATGGAGATATGAGCCTTGAAATCCGCGCAATTGATATTAGGAAAAGAGATCTCGCGCTTGTATTGAATTTTGCCCAGTTGTGCCACTTTAAGCGTCTGTTTTTTTTATCCGCGCCACTTTAGGCGTCTGTTTTTATCCAAGAAATAGACGCATATTCGACGCGTCGAGAATTTTCTCGATGCGTCGAGACTTCCTGTGCGCGAATTAATTAGCTACTGGAAAATTTCGACGTGTCGAGCCCTTGGCTCGACGCGTCGAATCCACTGGGCCCCGAACTCATCCAAAATTGCTCCAAACTCATCCTTGAACTCCTCTTGGTCATATCTTTGACCTAAAATGGTTCAAAAACACTAACAAACACCGTAAAATATTCAAAACAAGTGCGAACCATAATTAAATGATAATAGCAAGGAAAACATGTATTAAATAAGCAAAATTAAAGAGCTTAATTACTGTGATGATTCAAAATAACCATAAAAACAAGAACAGATGTGATAACATCATTAGTCCTCGACTATTGTAGCATTGTCACATTTAGTCATATTCTTTTAATTTTGTTATATTACATTTCTAACATTGAACAACTTCTACTTTTAATCATTGACTATTGTGGCATTGCCACATTTAGTCCTATTTTTTTTTTTAATTTTATCATATTGCATCCATAACTTTGAGCAACTTTCTCGTTTAGTCTTCGACTATTGTGCCATTGTCACCATCAATCTTCCGTTAAAAATTTTGTTAACTTACCGTTTAAAGATATCACTATCTTGCAATATCGTAACTTATATCACTATGTTGCAATATCATAACTCATATAACAAATAAAAAAAAATCCTTACACATGTCGTAACTCATATTTCTATGAGTTACGATATTACATCCTTTGATATTTACGATATTTCTAATGCATTCGAAATATGAGTTACGATATGTGTAATGATTTTTTTCCTTTGTTATTTGTCAATTTTAACGGAAGATTAATGGTGGCAATCAAATGAATGTCATGGATGTAATATGACAAAATTAAAAGAATATGACTAAATGTGAAAATGTCATAATAGTCGAGAACTAAAAGTAGAAATTGCTCAAAGTCATGGATGTAATATGGCAAAAATAAAAGAATAAGACTAAATGTGACAAGGCCACAATAGTCAAGGACTAAAAGTGGAAGTTGTTCAAAATTAGAGATGTAATATGACAAAATTAAAAGAATAAGACTAAATGTGATAATGTTATAATTGTCGAGGATTTAAAGTGGAATTTGCTGGGTAATTCAACTATAAAAGTTTAATATTTATTCTCCACACACTTTGAGAGCTCATTTACTTTTATGAGCCAATCATATTAAAATATGTTTGACATTGGGTAGTGTTAAAGATCCAAATCCGAAACAATCTTTGCATGTTTTGCAACTAAATAAATTCTTCCATTGGAGGTTGTAAATCATGGTGACTCAACTGAACATTAATCACAGAGGCTAGACCGGTGCTCACTGCGCACAAGAAAACCCCCTCACTTTGAGAGGTCGCTCCTACACTGCCGCTGGTGAGACTCGATCCCTGATCATTCTTTCAAAGTTTCACCTCTATGACCAGTTGAGCTACCCATGCGGGCTAAATAAATTGATTTTATATATGGGTGTGTGTGTGAGGAGGTACATTATGTTGGTACCGTTGGTAGAAAACACAAATAATAATCAAAAATAAGATTATTATTTTCTGGAAAGAAGGGAAGAAAAGATGAAGAAAAGTGGCTAGTGTTTGGTGTTGGGTTTTTGCAAGAGTCAAGTGAGCACTCTTTCCTTAAAACCTTATTTGCCACCTCCCAAAGATGCTATGAGCGTTGTGTCCTAGGCTTCCCAGGATAAAACTTGCTATGATTCAGTGTTTGAGCATTCAAACAAAGAATCCGGCGAGCAAGACGTGGTTATGAACACAGTATGGCTAATAAGAGGAGTAGAAGCAGAATTTTGAGGCTGGAAAAACAATGTTTCGTGCAGTGTTCTTGCTGTTCTCACAGTGTGTAAAACTCTACTGCCTCAACCCTCTCTTATATAGGGTTGAAGGAGCCAATAACCTTTATTATGGCAATTAAAAATGACATTAAAGCTGCCTTCCAACAGCTAGCCACTACCTGGGAATTGAATTCAGAATTGGAATTAATAGACAATTAATTCTGTAACAGATGAATTCAATCCCCTCAACAGTCAGAACAGGGTTCGGTCTCAACTTTCGACCCTTGCACCTTTCGTGGACTCTGTTGCACGAGAGTTGTGCTCTCGGTGCACCACAACCTCTCGTGCTCGGGCTTGAATCAAGCCTTTTTCAATCTCTGCTAGTTGGAATTTGATTTACACCCCCCCCCCCCCCCCGCGCGAGAGAGCCTCTATGCTATACAATTCTACAAGCTTCAACAGAGCTCTTGTATATAAGGGGGGAAAATCTTCATTCCAAAGCAATGTGGGACAAAAAGCTCACTTTTTCCCTTCATTTCCCAACTCAAATGGGTCTACTTTGAGAATCAATATCTCATTCACCCATTATCCGTTTTGAGCGTACAATATATCGATCTCTTCGTCTCACTACGAAGAATCCGAATCCACTTTAACCCGACCCAAATCGGAAGTGGACCCCACTGATAATTGTACCAAAAAATAGCCACTTAACATGCCATTTTATGCCATTTTTAGCTATTTTTTCCAACACATTATGGCTCAAGTGATAATACATTCCTCGTAAAAAGTGTGAACACATTCACACGGCACCCTTTTGAAAAATTAAAAGTTAAGATTTATTTTATTACTAGCATTTTGTATGCACAATACGAGAAAATTCATGCCCAATATTAAAATATTGATAAATATAAATAATTCAAAATTATAATTTGAATTATATATACACAAATAATATATGTATTTTGTACACTCACATATATAATTTATCATTCACAGAAATTTAATTAAAATATAATTAAGTATTAAATTAATATATAATGATTTTAATAAAATGATAATTAAAAAATAGGAAAAAGATATGATAGGTATACGTGGTATTCTATACCACCGCCGTGTATTTCTCATTTGGTTGTTTATTAATGCATTTCTTTCTTCCGTTTAAAAAAAAAATATGATAGGTATACGTGTATGGTAAGAATGATGTGTTATCAATGTTAGAATTAAAAACTAACGGTGTTATAATGGTGTAATGGTAGTTTTGTCTAATAACATTGGAATGTGCAACATTTAAAGTAAAATGTACACACTTATTTGCATGCAAAAAGATGGACATAAATTAAGGATATAACCTTAATTGAGGCTTATTATGTTTTTAGATTATTAAACTTTTAATTTTTAAATTTGAAATAATTATAAAATGAACTCCGCTTTAAAAGTTTTTAATAATTATAAAATTTGACATTTTTTTACTAAGCTAAAATCCTCAACTATTAATGAACTCTGATGGACAAGACACTTTGAAATCACTCTTCACTTTTTAAAGGATACTTTGTTCTCATTTAATATGCTCCTATATATATGGAGAGACAAAAAATGTGAAATAGCACAAATATAAAAATTAGGATTTTAAAATTATAAATATGGTAAAATTACTAATTAAATTATTGTATCCAATTCAAATTGAACTAGTGTACAAGGAGGATGGGGATGAGGTGGGAGAAGAAGAGAGTAGAATGATGGAGATTGGACATCCAACAGATGTTAAACATGTAACTCACATTGGCATGGATGGGGCGTCCACTTCAATCCTCTCCCAGAGCTGGACCCCATCATGCAGGATAATGATGGACATGCATCATCATCATCATCATCATGACATCTTCTTCAGCACTACAACTTCACCCTCTCCGACCACGGCGGCCACAACTCCGGCGACGAACCCACCGTCGCCGGCATCTATTGCAATGGCAGTGCATCACCAGCCAGCTGACGTATAATATATACATACATGTTGATCTGCCTTGCCAAAATATGTATAAGATAATTAATTAACAAAAAAGGCCACCATTGGATCAGATCCCCCCTCCCAATGTAGATTGCTTGTTTTGTCTGTGGTGGTTCACGGTTCACATATATAACTCTGCAATTCTCCATGTCTGTACAGTGTAGCTAGGTACATATATGAAGTAACAATAATCAGTGATGTAATATAATTACTTGTCATGCAACTTTTACATTTGCTGGTTATATATATTGAATATGTTCCTTAATCTACTTAGCTAAGGTGATCTCTTAGCTTCATCATATCTATCTTGAAGTCATGATAATAACGTTATATTATTCATGTCATCGAGTAATAACTAATTACAATATAATATAATATAATCATTGTATTGTATTGCATTCAGGGGTGGAGCCACCATGGAGCAGCTGCCCTGCCTGCTCCCTCTCCCCACCCCACCCCACCCCCACCTTATATAGTCCTTGTATATATAGTACATGAAAACAGTGTTTGTCTTTAGGGATGGTTTAGGGTTTGAATCTTTTCATTGACATAGCTCAATTTTAGCTTTGCTCTAACACAGATAAATACTTCAATTTTGGTTTTGCTTCAACACAGTTAAATTTTGACTTTTTAAATATTAATAGTGAGATTTTGTTTGGTGGATCCACACTAGTGGTGAAGCCATTATCTTTTTTGCAGGTAGGTGGAGAGAAAAAGATGGAGATGAAGACCCTTTACGATTTTGAGAGCTCCCGACCCTTAGTGTAGTACATGTCTTAATTTTGAGGCAAAAGTTGCTTTAGAAGAGATTCTTAGGTAGCTTTAAAGCCTTGGAAGCCCATTCTGGTTTGAGATATGAGTGGGGGGTCTTAATAGGCTCCAAGTATGGCATACACTCGGAGTTGGGAGTGCCTTTAGCTTGAGGGGATTCATAGGTTTAAAAGGAAATGAGAAAAGAGCAAGGAAATGAAGGAGGGTGAAATAAGGAGGTATGAAAAAAGAGAGAAAGAAAAAAGAAGAATTTGGATGAAAGAGATGAAGGAAAAAAGCAAAAAGAAAGAGGTAAAGAATAGGGAGGAGTGAGATGGTGGATAACCATTGCTTAGGTCGAGGCCGCAAAGGCTCCCCGGGCCTAAAACGCGGTACGCCGTGCCGTCGGAGTTGGCCTTTGGCCTAAGGGTGGTTGGGGAGGGAGCCATTGCTCCTGTCGGGACCTCAAAAGCCTCCCCGGGCAAAACATAGTACGCTATGCCGAGGGAGGTTGGTCTTGGGCACGAGGGTGGAAGGAGGTGAGTGCTACCGCTCAAGCCGGGACCCGTAAAGTCCCCCCGGACTAAAACACGGTACGCCGTGCCGGTGGGGATGGGACTTTGACTTGAGGGTAGTAGGGATAGCTAGGATAGGTGGATCCTCACGAGCTAGGCATCGTTCCCATCACTTGTGTGGGACGGGGAGCCTATTACAGACAAGGTTTTGTGTTTAGATTGGTGAGGGGTGGGTTTTCAAGGCTTGAAGTTACCCATTGATCTCTTTTGTGAGCCAGTTGGCCTTATGATTTTCATATAGTAGATTTAGCTGGTTGGGAGCTTTATACTTTGATTGGGCGTGGTCACTTTTGGGTCACCTCTTGTATATATAGTTGGTTGTTTTGTTTTGTTATGGCCGAAAAGGCCAAGGACTTGATTTGAGCCATAGTCCACTTTTGGGGCTATGGCGTATGCTTGTAGACTCTTGGTTTTCGAATAGAATAAATGCACAATTTAAAAAAAAAATATTAATAGTGAGAAGTTCAATTTTAGCTTTGCTCTAACACAGATAAATACTTCAATTTTGGTTTTGCTCCAACACAGTTAAATTTTGACTTTTTAAATATTAATAATGAAATTTTCACACGCACACATACGTACGTACGTACGTACATACACACATACATACATTGTGACACCCCAAAAATTCTATCCTTTAAATATGATTAATTGAGTAATTAAATCTCAAGTTACCCTTGTTAATTTCCCAATCAATTTCCTAAATTATATTGATAGTCGGAGGACCAAATTGACCAACTCCTTGGTCAATTGACTTAAGTAAAAAATGAGTACCTCTAGCTTTGATGGTTGTACCTAATTCTTTGGAGTCTTCCTAAGCCTTTCTAGGGAAAGTAAGGGTATGATGGTCTTTTCCCCTTACTTGGTCTTGAAGCCTTACCCTACCCAAACCTAAAATTCATTCCCTCACTTTAGCAAGACAACTTTTCTCTCCCTTCTCTCTAAGAAACTTGGCTTCTTCCCCAAGCTAAGAAAGACCTCATCCAATCTTGCAAAGCTAAGATTCATCCCAAGATCCCACCTTTCTATCTTCCAAGCTTAGGAAAGGGTAAGATCTAAAGTTATCTAGTGTTTTTGGTTAGCTTTAAGGTGTCTTTATCTAAGTTTGGTGTTTTCTTGTGGATTGGCTTGTGTAAGAAGGTTGTGAGGAAGAAGAGCTTCCAAGTAAGGCCTAGGAGGGTTAGAAGAAAGAAGGTTTTGGTCTTCAAAGGTAATCGATGTTTACCGGAAGGGAAACTAATTCCACCTTAAGCTTAACTCTCTACCCATTACTAACCACCGATCTAGACGTCTTAGCTAAGGCACAACCTATAACTAAAACTGACACCAAGAGGACTCTAAAGCTAGATTACCCGAGATCGAAGAACAAGGATAGCTCCTTCAACAGGTCACCGCTGACTTCTTCAATCAAAGGAAGCAAGGTACTCACACTACACAACTTGATCTCGGCATCCGCTTGAACTTGATCCGCCACTTCCAGACAAAGGCTACTGCTGCCAGCTCCAAAACACGAGTAGTATGTCCTTCACCCTAGCTCTTGGGCTAACTTGATGCAGACTGCCAACTTAACACTTGCATTAACACACAACCCACAACTCTCTACAAAGCACTTAGAGTTAAAGTTTAACATCTTAAAGTCTCAAACTTAGAGTACTATCCTAGATGCACCCTAGATTATTAAAGTCTAGCTCTTAACACCCAAGTATGTAAGTACCTAGAGTTCAAGCTTAATGTCCCAAAGTCTTATCCTAAAGGCATTGTCCTAGGGTCGAACTTAGGCTCTAATACCAACTGTAACACCCCTGAATTTTAAGATATTTAAAACTTATAAAATAAAGGCGAATCTAAAATTTAAATCCCAAACAGAGTATAAACTATCCATAAGAGTCGGGGTGTTATGCCACACCTAGGTTTGAGAACCTAGATGCACAGGCTAAACTAACCAAGCATGGTCAATCCATAAATCGATATTCAATTACAACCCAAGGCACGCAGGCCATCTATTATTAGAACTATTTAAACTAAGTCCAAGGTTCCGACTAGCGCGCTCCGTAGCTAATGCTCATCACCTGAAAAATATTCGGTGTAACAACTGTCAGCGAATAATGCTGATAACCCACTCCAACGCGTTAAGTACAATATAGGTAGATATAAGAAACTTATTTTGAAACTGGAATACATATATATACTTATGAGACTCTAATTTAAATCCAAGATCAAGACTCAAGGCATATTAACAGACTCAACAGTATAGAATAATCATAAAGACTAACATGCATCCTAAGAACGCAATACAAGACATAACAGACAGATAAGCATATAAATAACAATTAGAGGCAACGAAGGCATTCAAGACAATCAATTAGCAAGTAGTCATCAAAGCACACAATTCATCCTCCAACCTTATACTAAGTTCCAACCTTGTATCTCCCCTCCGTCCTTATATCAGTTCTAACCTATACCTCCAGGCCACCCTTATATCGTCTCCCCTTATTCCTCAGGGCAACTACATGCCCCCACCGACAAACCACCTATCAACCACCAACATATCAAGATGGTGCTGCAGTGCCGTTCACATGATCCGCACCTCTAGTGCCAATATCAAGGGGTCAGCGCATATAGCTCTGACATCACACTGCAGCACTTATAACCTGACCCATGCTCAACGGCAAGCAGGTCTAAGGTGTGTTTGTGCCTTGAGCACAATAACCGCTATGGCATGTACCTGTAGTACAATGACCGGGCACAAGTGGTACCAACCGCCAACAATTCATTTCCACCAATCACAATCTCATCATCATCATTCACACCAGCCATTGCGCAATGACCAAGATAATCATCACCATTCAATCAATCAACACATAATCAAATAACAATCAAGACACAACAACAACGACACGTATTACACATAAATTCCTAGGACGATACCCAAAACACCCAATGAGACTCATACACGACAAACGGGGTACAACGGGACATGGGGAAACATCAAACGAGGAAAAACATCACGCCCCACATCAAGTTTCCAGCGGGTGGGCGGCGGGTGGAGGACCATCTGCTGGCGGCGGTCACACTTTCCAGTGGGCAGTCGCCTGCCTGCTGGAAAGAAGCTCGAGCAGCGGGCAGGTGGCGGGCACCCCTACCCCCCATTGACACACAGGCAACTTTCAGTCCCGGGATCTCTCGTGGAACCCGAAACCATGTCCAGACACATTCAAACACATAACGACAACACCACGTATTCAATTAACGGGATTAAACCAAGAATTACACCAAATACATTCTAACACGATTCCTAAATATGCCAAGGCCAATTATATAATGGTTCAGGAGCATACGGAACCACAAGAATATCAAGAAATCTATATGCAAAGTCCTAAACACAAGTCCTAGGCTAGACTCAACACCCGATCATGCATAATCCCACCCAAATATACCAAGAACATCATAATACGAAATTCACGATATAAACCCTAGAGCTCTAGACATAATTAAAATACGAGATCATACATATAGTCAATAACAATATAAAGAACATCAAGATTATCAAATAAACACAATATAAGTCCTAGGCAAGGCTCTATCAAGACTCAATCACAGAATCACATATACGATTATCAAAGGAGCCAATGAATAAGATATAGCAATGAAAATAGGTTTTGTTGAGACATGGGTTACCTCTTAGCCCTAATCAATATCCTTGACTACTAAGGTTCTTCTCTAAGATTTCCCTCCAGTGGATTCCTCTACGTTTGGTGGCAGGGGAATTCCTTTGTAGGCTTCCCCTCGGGAATATCTTGCGTGGTAGAATTAACTGTGGTAGGGTTTCTAAATGCTTCCTAAGTCCCTATATATAGATTTAGGAGTCCTAACTAGAATTTGAATGGTAAAGGTCCACTTTTCATATTCCTTATAGAATTAAGGACTTGGATAAGGATAAGGGTCCATGGTCCATCGTGGACCACACTAATTAATTAATGGGGTTCTAGTCTAATTAAATCCTTTTTAATTAAATGGTAACGGAATTAATTAAATAATTAATCCGGATATGGAGGCCGTAACACGGGATGTTACAACATCCGTCACTCTTGGTTTTTTAAGCACTGCACTAGCACTGTCTTCGCTTCATTTCTTACTTTGTCTCACTCCTAGCTGTTGATCTTGTTGTACTCTGGAGAGATTAGCTGCACGGTTGTAAGTTTCACTGAGCAATCTTGTTTTACTCACTGTTAGAGCTTTCTCCGCCTCGTAGTTAAGTCCTGCTACATACTTTTCGACCTTAGCAGCCTCGGTGGGAACCAACACGCGCGCGAACCGGGCTAACTCAAGAAAACGCTTGTGATACTCCACTATGGACAGGGTCCCTTGCTTCAAGTGAAGGAACTCCTTGTACATAGCCGCCCTTACATGAGATGGATAAAACTTTTCCCGGAGTTTGTCTTTCAACACTGACCAGCCGAACCCCGGTTCCTCAAGACATGCCAGACCTTCATGGACCCACCATAGGTCCGCCTCGTGACTGAAGTAAAACGTCGCTAGCTCCACGTGACGGTCTTCAGGGCATCCCACCACGGCGAAGATTTTATCCAAGGAACGGATCCACTCTTCTAGGAGGACGGGGTCTTCTTCCCCGGCAAA